CATCTGCGTTTTGAGGAGGTTTCCAGCAGCGGCCACAATACTCCATCGCCCCCGGCATCTCCTCTCCGTTCGCCTCGCTACCGGCACGGCCGGTCAAAGACGACCAGTCGTCTCACCGCGGTTCAGCCGGGTCGGACCCTCGCTCACCGGCTCTCCTGGTTGCTCTTATCGGTTCTTCTCCGGCGTCAGGGAATTTTCCTCTTCGCTCCTCTCATCTACATTTCCTGTATGTTGCTCTTCATGGGAACGGTGTCATTTGATGTCGTTCCCGTAATCACGCATCGCCCCGCCCCAGGATCCGTCTACAAGAGTCCACAGCTTTACGCCAAGCTCCGACCGGAGATGGACGCCGATAATTCCACGGCTGATGCGGTGAGTTTTTCTCTTCGCAATGCGGAATTGGTCTTGGGAATGAAGACGTTATTTATTTTTTGCCATTCTATGGTTCTCTTTTGACTTCATGGCAACTCGAGTTGTTGATTATCGTGGTGTCTCTAGATTTTCAATTGACGTGCCATTTCTAATTGATTTCTCTGAATTCATGGATCATTTGATCACTTGGTGTGGGAGGTTGAATTCCTTCCTGGCTTTTAGCTACAATGACTGAATGATACGTTTTCCTTATTGGAATTTTGGTGAGTGGAGTTAAGCGGTTAGTTTCCACCACAACTGATAAATCGGACAAGTATTGTGGTAAATTTACCAATGTCGAGACCTTCAGGTATGGAAGAGACCAATTCATTCAGTTTTAGCTTCAGCAACCTGTAAAACTCTGCCCCGATCCATTCAGGCACAAAATTAGCGTGCAAATCACCATGGAAGGGAGAGTATTAGCTATAGATTGACCAGATATGCTCCCTTAATTTCTTGCATCCGGTTGATGAGATTCGTTGGGATTACATTGGTTTTGTTTCTTAAACTGTTGAAGTTTTTGAGATTTGTTTTCAGGAAAATTAGATTGTAATGTTTACTGATAACTCGTTCCCTCATATATCCTCATCGCTACTAGTCGTGTGATTGATTTGCAAAATTGTACACTACCTTCGAAAATCTTAACACCTCCTGCTTAGCCCCATGATTATTGTATAAAGGATGGCTATATACTATTTGCTATTCTTTTGCCTCCTGCTTTCAATGACTTGAATCATATTCATCTCAGATATCAACAATTTGGAAACATTCCTATAAAGGTGGGGAATGGAAGCCATGTGTCAACAAGTCTTCTGGAGGTATTTCATAGTTTCAGTAGATCTACCAGCTGGTTTTTCCAAAATTTTACTTGTAATATGGCATAAATTGCAGACTTAATGAAGTGTAGCATGTCAGACTGTCCACAATGTTGTAAAAATGGATTCTGGAATTACTGCTTAAGATAAAGTGTTCTGCACATGCTGCCGACTTCTGCCTGGAGAGCCAAATTAGCTTAGCTCCTGATCTTGGTTTAAGAATTAGATTTTTGCTTTGTCTGTTCATAATTGTAGCTTTGCCCGAGTCAAATGGTTACATATATGTTGAGGCAAATGGAGGCTTGAATCAACAGCGGACATCGGTAGGTTTGTCTATCTTTTCATCTTACATGCAACCTACATTTTTTACGTCTAGCCCTCAGTTCTTGTCTGATAATCTTGTTTATGTCCCAAATTTTGACTCGTGTCTACCTTGTTATGCTTAGATATGCAATGCGGTTGCTGTGGCAGGCTATCTGAACGCGACTCTTGTAATCCCCAACTTTCACTATCATAGTATATGGAGAGATCCGAGGTACTTTATCTTCTGATGGTATTTTACATTAAGTGAATCCATCTTTTTGTTCACTGCTGTCTGATAGATGATTTTCTTTCCAGTAAATTTGGAGACATCTATGATGAAGATTACTTTGTCAGTACCTTAGCAAATGATGTACGAGTGGTCGATAAGATTCCTGAATACTTAATGGAGCGATTTGACTACAACATGAGCAACGTCTACAACTTCAGAATAAAAGCATGGTCTCCTATTCAATATTACCGAGACTCAGTCCTGCCAAAGCTACTTGAAGAAAAGTGGGTTACACCTTTGTTAACATAATTGTCTGTACAAGTCAAAGTTGGTTTCAAATATAAATGTCCAGCATAAACCCCTTTACTACTGATAATGTAAGGGCAGTTCATCTCTTTAGCATTTGTATTGAAGAATTTGTTGTTGTTTTTAATGGCACAGGGTTATAAGGATCTCACCCTTTGCGAATAGACTTTCATTCGATGCTCCTCCGGCTGTCCAAAGACTTAGGTGCCTGGCAAATTACAAAGCTTTGCAATTTTCAAAATCCATACTTGCCCTAGGAGAAACACTGGTCAAGAGAATGAAGGAGCGTAGTGCAAACAATGGCGGAAAGTATGTGTCTGTACATCTGCGTTTTGAGGAGGTTTGTTTCCAAAAAAAATACAGAAACATTGGGAAAATCACCCTCTGGTCTTTGTCATAAACTTAAATGCTGAATATGGTTATGCGGCCCAAGTGAAAGATGCAATATGTAATCATAACATGTTGCAGGATATGGTAGCTTTTTCCTGTTGTGTATTTGATGGCGGCGAGCAAGAAAGACAAGACATGATAGCAGCAAGAGAACGAGGATGGAAAGGGAAGTTCACAAAACGGGGCCGTGTTATACGTCCTGGGGCTATCAGGCTCAACGGAAAATGTCCGTTGACTCCTTTAGAGGTAAGCTCAAATTCTCTTGATTGTGGATGCTTTTCTATTCTCTAAAAGTGTGGATTGTATATAAATTTCTGGAGGTTGACGGACAGCGATCATGCTTGACTAAATGCTGCTGTAAAATGCGCTAATAGGAATATTTCCAGAAGTTCATGCGAGCAATATGGTATGGGTTAGTGTAAGTTGCCCCATTTGGTTTAATATCTTTCATTTGAACCTGTCAGGTGGGTTTGATGCTTAGAGGAATGGGCTTCAACAACAACACATACATCTACCTGGCATCTGGCCAGATATATGATGCGAACAGAACAATGGCCCCACTACTGGAGATGTTCCCGAATCTGCAAACTAAGGAGATGCTCGCAGCTGAGGAAGAACTTGCTCCATTTACTGTCTGTTTCTGTGATCTTCTGCTTTTTGTTTTTGTCCAAACGAACTTTGATGTTTATGGTCGTTTTTTTTTTTTGGCTTTCAGAATTTCTCTTCCAGGATGGCTGCGATAGATTACACAGTTTGTCTCCACAGTGAGGTTTTTGTGACGACTCAAGGCGGAAACTTTCCTCATTTCCTCATGGGCCATAGGAGATATTTGTATGGCGGACACTCCAAGACCATTCGACCAGACAAGCGGAAATTAGCTATCCTCTTTGACAATCCCAACATCGGGTACTTATGCTCATTACTTCTTCTATACTGTTACTGTCCATGGTGGGAAACTAGAAGCTATAGGGAGTTTCAGTGCATACGGGTAAGGGAATCTCGATTGGATAAGTTTATGAAGAGGGCAATAGTAACAATGGTTAAAACTTGTGAAAAAGCAGATGGAGGAGTTTCAAGCGTCAAATGCTGAACATGAGGTGCCATAGTGACTCAAAAGGGCACGAGCTGAAACGGCCTAATGATTCCATTTACACATTCCCTTGCCCTGACTGCATGTGCCGTACCAACAGGACAACAACAACAGAAGAAGAAGTAGATTCTCGGGCGGCCACGTGACAAAATCGGAGGCTGGGACCCACCATTCCTTCTCTTTTTTCTTTCGTAATTCTTTCGATTCTTTAGCAGCCCTCCACCACACGCTGACAGGAGAGTGAGATAACAGCAGGAGGGTCTATTTATCAAAATCGCCCTCATGGGATGATTGCTTCCAGACAGTTGCAGCCGATGCGTAGCACTAGAGATTCATTCGTTGGCTTTCTTCTCCAAGAAGAAGGTTACAGCGTTTAGGTTGAGTTTGCGTTCGCGTTTTGTACATTGGTTCAGGTGATGCAGAATGACCGTTGTAGGCGGGGGGAGAAGCTGTCCAGTTTTGTACATTTTTTATTTTATTTTTCCAGTTACATCTGTTATTTTTTAGGAACAAGTTTTCAATATCCATTTGATTCTTTTCTTTGGACCTGTAACAACGTATACTCGAACATTTCGAGAGAAAAAAAAAATTAAAAGTCGTATGAAATGTATATGATTAGATATTGAATTTGAATACGAATCAAATTACATTGACGGGTTACCGTTTGGAATTTGGAGATATTCTTTTTATTTGTGTTGTCCAGAGAGTGCAAACATCTGACGGAGAGGTTTAAAGGTTGAGTACGACGCGGCGGTGTTGACCCACTCTCCGGCGAGTTCTGTCTCGTTGTACGGTACTGGCAGTCTAACTCCCGACCAGCTTGAGGTCCCAGTGATGGTTGTCGTACAAGTTTTTTACGAAAATCGAACAGGTGAACTGGTGATCGAGGCCTTGTCGAGCGAAGAGGACGGAGGAGTTGCTGGGTGAGTTTGACTTTTCCGTCGCTTACATCGTCTCCGGCAGAAATCAGGTTCTTTCTGCGGCTTTTATTTTCCTGGTTGGTTCCGAGTTTGAAACTGATATTCAGCTTCTTCTGTACTGATGCCGACAAGGTGCGTCCTAAGATCTCCGTGTGTTTTTGGGCAGCTATGAAGGAATGAAGCAGGGAATCTGGAACATGACTTGGTTGGGATTCATCTATTGTGTCGTATGAGCTCAAGTCTTGCGTGTACATGCTCCCTCAGCAGGTCTCTCAGAGAAAGATTTTTGGAAGATTGAAGCAGCCGAAAGAACAAAGAGTGGGCAGTGTATCTTAGTATTCGGTTCACAAATCTTAACAATGTTTTGTTGGTGCAGCGTGACCCATTATTTAAAGAGATGGAAGATGCACTCTGGGAAAATGTATATGGGATGCAGTGATACAAGGTATCCTGACATGGAATATGAACATGAAGCACCGTTTGATAATATAAATATATATATTCCCACGTTGCCCACTCCTCATTAATCTGCAACCCAAAAATAAATAATTCTTTTCACGTGCATGCACCATTTAATGCGGTTTAACTATTAAGCGTAGACCATTTATTGCGTTTGTTTTCTCAAGACGAGGGGACAGGCATCCCCTTTGTGAATACCGTAATTCATTGAATTCAAAATGGCGAAAGCTATACGATGAATCAACAGCACACATGCAGGCAGTTGTATCGCTATAAATGTTCCATCTGTTGACCCCTGGGTGTCACCTAATTCCAGCCAACAGTATTAATAGTATTTTATGAATATTAGTTTGGTATAACCATAATTTTACAACAAAACAAACAGCGCCCTAAATTGTTTGGAAGAGATTCTTGTGATTTTCAGATGGGAAAAATAATATATCCGAGAGGACAAATTATAACATGCGCGAGTTTTCCGAGGCGCAAAGAAGCTTCCATGGTCCAAGTCCAAACAATATACAATTATTTTTATTTGAATACAAGAAATATGTTCTTGTTAAAAAAAAATATTTAATCAAGTCTGAAAGACACGAACTTTCTGTCTTGCCTTGCTAGTGCATGGGCTGCGAAGAAATCCACGCACAGAATCTTCGGCCATTCTTCTCCTCCTCCTCCTTTTTTTTTTATAAAAAAAAAATGAAACTCGCCAGAGGAGAGAAAAGAAACAATGTAGACGAAACAAAGACTAGGAGTGTTTTTTTCGAGCATTTGAACGGATAAAGATATTCATTATAACATTTGGAATGTTAAAAGGCCATTGAAGCAAAAGAGTTTGAGAAAGAAGAGCATTAACCCTACCCCACAAAAAAGGTAAAAGGGCTAAAGCCAATGCTCTCATCTCATTCATCCTACCAGAGAAAGATCCCTGGGATCAGACAACATGTGAGGTCGGTCAGTTGTGAAGAGGATTAGGACCAGTGTGAACTAATCTCTTGTCGCCTTCGTAAACCCTATCTTGATCTTCTAGGGCTCTTGGCGCTTCATGAGACGGCGCCGTTTTCTGGAAGAAGACGACTTTTCTGGGAGGACTGTCAAAGTTATGGAAGTGAGCTGACGACAGAGTAAACTGAGCAAGGATCAAGATGACCCACCACGCCATCAGCTGAGCTGCTCTTCTTCTTCTGCTGCTGCTGCTTGCCACATAAGCTTCCATGGCGTTCTGAGTGATAAGAGCACTCTCACTCTATGGATTCGCTCATGGGAATAGTGTTGAATACAAACGTCTTTTGCTCTTATGTAACAAGTTTTGGATACAGATTTCAAGTGGGTTTTGGGGGGAAAATAATAAGGAGAAGGAGAAAGGGAAGGTGAGAGCTTTGACTGGGGGTGCTGTAAATAAACCCAAAAGCCAACGCTCCTTCCTTGTTTGAGTGAAGTCCAAGTTACAGCTTAACTTGTCTGGGTCTGTCTGGATAATCAGAATAATTTAAAAAAAGAAAAGGGAAGCTCTTAATTTTGGAATTATAGAGCTTCCCTTTTTGTAAATTACTTTGGCTTCCTGTTCTTATGGGTCTTATCACATGATTCTTGACCCTTGATTCCTGGGAGAAAACTTCTTATATCTGTCCTCCTCTGCTCTTTGGACTTTGCATCTATTTTTTTTAGTTATATTTATCCCCCAATGCCTTGGTTGTTCCTCTCTCTTTTTGTATCCTGCCACATTGGCATTGCTTGGAGATGGCGATGTGGGACAGTTCAATATTAATAGCCGCTGTCTCCGGAAAATGTATTCAAATTTATGTGTTAGAGAAAAAAATGGGCACTTGAACTCATGCTGTGTTTTTACTTGTTAAAGCAAAGTTGCTTTAATGTGTTCTCTCCGTTCTGTCTTTCATCTCTCCCCATCTATGTGGTTTAAATGTCTTCCATTCCACGAGCTATGAGATTTTCTTGCTTCCATCTCTCTGTTTCAATTCTCAGACAAAGCAGACAGCTTTTGGCCAATAGTTTTGTACTATATAATCCAATGGCTTGCTTTCATTTAAAAATCCTGACCTGTGTAGCTCAAATCGAGCTACTGTAAAAGTTGTTTTACAGAAGATACCCTTGTAATGTGATACAATGGTCTGCTACGACTCTGAATACTTTTTACAAAGACTCTGAAAAAGGAGTGATTCATGGTCAAACTTGGCTTCAAACAAGTCCAGAGATACAAAATCATGATCAGGATCATATACATATATAGCCCATATGGAGTCACCAGAAATCTCTGCAAGAGCAAACACCATTTCTGAAATGGTGAAATCTTTTCTTGTCTCTCATGATGATGTCCCTCGGAGTAATTCTAGAGACTAACTTTGAGAAAACATGGCAATCATCACAGGTTCTCAAGTTCTTCATCACCCTTATGGCAGATCCACCTCTCACGTTTATGAGCCCAAACACAATCGCAAGCTTTTCACTGTGATGGCTGAGGGAAGCTTCCTTTTCCTCAACTTCAACATCATGAAACACCGGACCAGTCTCAGGAACATCCCAAGCTCTTTATCTTCTTCAATATTTCATCCAGTTTCTCGTATATGGCCTTTGATTGTGGATGCGACCTGTCCCCTCCATGGAAAACATGGATTTGACCGTCAAATTCGATGGAACTATAAGCAGTAACCTTTCTGATACCCTGTTTTCTCATGTTGCGCCTCACTTTTTCAACACAGTCCCACCTACCAGCAGCTGCATATATGTTAGACAGCAAAACATGATATGAACCAATGTCCGGAGTGGTTTCCATAAGCAAGTCTGCAACTTTCTGGCCCAAGTTGATGTTACAATGAATAGCACAAGCACCCAACAGGGCTCCCCAGATGCCCGCATCTGGTTCCATTCGCATTCTTTCGATAAATTCATAAGCCTCGTCCAGACGGCCAGATCGTCCCAAGAGATCAACCATGCAAGCGTAATGTTCCTTTCTGGGCTGAAGATTCTTATCGTTTGATTGAACCATAAGATTAAAAAACCTTTTCCCTTCAGCCACCAAGCCAGCATGACAACAAGCCGACAGGACACCGAGGTAAGTCACGTGGTTAGGTCTTATCCCCTCATTCCGCATTCCAGTGAACAGCGTCAATGCTTCTCCACTTTCTCCATTCATTGCATATCCTACAATCATCGTGCTCCACGAGACAACGTTCCTTTGCTTCATTTCCTCGAAGAAAACCCTCGCAGTTTCAATGCTACCGCATTTCACGTACATGTCAAGCTTTGCATTTTCGACAATTAAGTTACAATCAACCCCCTCTTTCCTCGCACGATCATAAATTCCCTCTCCCATCTCCAAACAACCAAGCTGACCGCAAGCCGAGAGCAAGCTCACGACGGTGAAAGCATCAAACTGAACTCTATCCGTACACATTCTGTGATAATATTCAACAGCCTTAGCCGACTTCCCCACTTGAACGCATACGGCAATAAACGCGTTCCAAGCTACCAAATCTTTATCTTCCATAGTTTCAAACAAAAACTCAGCCGAGCTGAGTTGGCCAAGCTTCACGTACATCATCACCAACTCAGTTCTAACTATTCCCAGATGCTCCAGTCCATGTTTCACGACATGGGCATGCAGAGCCAAGCCATTGAACAAGTCACCGAGCTCGGCAAATGCCTTAACAACAAACGGGTAGCTATATTCGTCAGGACGAATACCAAGGTCAACCAATTTCTTATAAAGAAAGACACTTTCAACAAGCATCTGGTTTTTGACGTACCCCTTGAGAAGGGTGTTCCAGAGGTAGATCCTTGGCTTGTGCATTTCGTCGAACAGTTGGCGCGCATAACACATGTCACCTAAAGCCACGAGATTCTCCAACAGCTGGGTTAAGAGGCTGTTCTTCACAGAGAGACCCGTCGTCAAAACGAGCGCATGGATCTTCTTCAGCTGATTTGGCTTGGAGAATCGAGGCCGTAGGAACTTGGACAACACTTCTTTCGTTAATGGCATTTGTTTCGATCGACAGCATCTAACCGGTTCTCAGCAAGATCTAGTCCTCGACATCTTATACTGCCACGTGGCGAACGTACATTTACCCGTACAGTTCGGTGAACTTGGAAGTGGTTAAGAAACAAAATCCTCGAGTTTAATCCCATATTTGTCCACAGTGTTCTTCGAACATGTAGAACTTTCCGCAAGATTCTGCTGATATTCCTTAGTTATGCTCAATTGCACAAAAATAGCACCCAGAAGAAAGTTCAAGAAATAAACTTTCTCACGCAGATACGCGGGCTGGTTGGGCCGCACCGACAACCCGATTCATCCGACCCGCATCGAGGCCTTGACCGCTTTTATATGGAGCCGGTTCGATGCATCGACCGGTATTAAACCGGGTCCGAATCGGACATGGTTGGTGGTGCAAGCAGTGAACCTTCGCACTCGGATGGAGTTTCCGCTCTCCGATAGCAATTTCGGGAATATCTACCGTATCATTGTGGCGACGCCGTCAGAGGAAGACGGAGACGTATGGTACGGCATTGTTGAGAGAATTACGCTTTCAATGGATGAATCTCGGATCCATGAAATACATTAGTCAGCAATGATAAAAACATGTTTGTAAGATATGAGTTTGTGACTGCGCATTGAGAAACTGTCTGTGACCCACAACAAGTAAACAATGGATGAATCTCTTCAACATTTTTCAGGAATGAAAGGAAAAAAACAAGATTCTGAATGTTCAAAGACTCTTTTGCTTTACCAAATGGAAATGGTTTATTATACATCCAACGGCATGATAACTCACAGAAAGAGGAGAGAGAGAGAATGGGATGGTACTAAGAGGAGGGAAGGAGACCGCGGCAACCGGGGCCTTCATGCCACTCGAGCATGAGCTCAACTTCGCCACACTCGACATTGTTGAGGCGTAGGATCATGTCTTGAGTGATCTTGCCGTTGTTCCAGACGATGCTGCTCTCGTCTGATAAACAATTCTGCCTATTCGGTTCTACCCTTTTGATGGCGCACCCATTTGGCAGCCTCAGCAGCTCCATTCCCATTTTCAGTGCCTCCAGATACGCTTGAATGTCGATGTTTGCATCTCCCATCTTGTCGTCCCCCGTGAACTTGTCTTTGTCAAACACCGTCTAACCCACCACCACCGCCAAACACATCCAGTCAGTTCAGGTAACAAGGAAATTAAAAAAAAAAAGGCGACAGAAAGAGTGAGAGAATCTTGAAATCTGACCAAGCGGATCGGAACATTGGGATCTTTGATGGCAAAACTGAATTCTTCATTCCATGTGGGATTGCAGTTTTTCTTCACCACACGGGTCTTGAGAGACTGAAAGAAACCAAAAACACCCAACGCAAAAAACCTCCAATGAATTCAGTAGTAAAAGAATTGCCACCCAAGTGGTTAGTCGTCCCTCGACCAATATAGAATACTGATTAATGGTAAGGCCAAACGAAAACGATGGATCTTTTTGTGCTCCCTAAACCGAAATTTTTTTGCATTCATATCAATAAAGATTACAAAGATATGGACACAGAAACTCAAATTCTCTAATTTTGATCTGTGACTATGCGTGTGATGAACACAAGCAAACATATACCAATCCTGTAACTTCTAGCTACGTAATCCTTCCATATGGTGAATCGCTCCGACATAAGGCGACTCCTATTCGGCAATTTCAACGTCGAATTACATAAAGAAATGAATGAAGAAATCAAGCAAAACCTTCCGAATGTTGCGTGAAAGAGAGAATCTATAGTTTGAAAAGATCAACGAGAGCAGAGGGGGGGGGGGACCTGATCGCCGACAGAGAGGACGACGTATGGATCGCTGCTTCGAGCATCGCGGATCGCCAGATTGATCCCTCTCTTGACGTGAATCGTCAGCAATCCCAACGGCCTTTGATCCATCGATCCAAATATCCTTCAAAACAAATCGAAAGAGATATCTAACACAGAGAAAAAAAAACTAAGAGCTTTCGTGTTTTTCCCGGATGCCCACAGATTCAGGAAATACGCTCGGAGGCAAAACCCCACCTCCCAAAAAGGGGGGGATGGTGTCGAACGGAATTTTCCTACAGGAGACTGACTGGCCAACACGTCGTCGCGAATCGGTATAAGAGTAAGACAGGTCGTTGACTTTTCATGGCTTGGAAAAAAACACGGGGACGACCGATTTTCATGCAAATTCCTCGAATAATAAGATTAGGAAAATGTCCACGAACAGACCCACGTGGGCTACATTTGGGTATTTGTCATACGTTGGGTGTTCATAAGCCCATTATATAAATAATCAGACCCGTCAGGATCTTATTGCCCACTTGATGGATGGACCCATCGGATAGCTTAAACGCCGCACTCATTTCTTGACATGAATTATGGCGGCTAGGGTCATGAACTCGGCCGCATCGGCTTGTCATAAACTATATACGATTAGAAGAAGAAAAAAAACTGAAATTCCTATCAAATTCATCCCGCCAAGTGCAATTAGCAGTTGATTTTTTTGTAAAAAAATTATAACAAGTAGTATAGAACTAAAATGGAATATTATTCTATTTTGCTACATCTTATAATTTAAAATGGGGGGTGGAAAATATCGTCTGGATTTCCTAATCAGTGCATCACTTTTAACAGAGAACTGAAAGCGACGATAGTGGACCATATGCGCATTAGGTCCCCACATAGAATATATGTGGAATGCTATGACATTAAAATCATAAATATGAATAAAATTTGAAGAGTCGAAATTCAATGTGATTGGAATTTGCATACACATGCAAGTGGGCAAGTTTGGTTTCCATGCCATGTGGGACCTTCTCGTGTGCCTACAAGCATTAAATAAATGAACATCATAATACAAATATATACCACTAACAAAATACCCATATAGCTTTAATACATGCAGACGATAATCTAAAGTATGATCTGTACTCATAAAAAAAAAAAGCCACTGATATAACATCAGCACTAGGATTCCATCTATATCAAATATCATAGGATTCTTGTCCGCCATATTCACATAGACTCGTATACTTAATAACCGATTAAAAAAAAGTAGGAGGACATGTGTGTAGTTACGTTTTATATTTTGCTGTTTATTAAAGAAAAGTATGAAAGGGTTTAGGGTCCGGATCCTTTGAGAGAGACTGCTGCTCTAGCATAGCATGTGGTCGTCTACCTCTCTGTCACCCTATAACCATATGCCCATTTGTATTAAAATATAATCTAATCTTTTGGTTCCCGTATTATCAATCATTCCATATTAAAAATGTTTACATCAACATTTAATATTTTTCTTACGTTTAATTGGATTTTATGATTGCGTCTAATAGAAAAGCTCCAAACCCTTCACGGGAGTATCATCAACTACTTAACTGCCATCATTATGTTCTCTAGAATTCAACTAAACAAAGCACTAAACCAAAATATAAAAAAGATAGAGGACCATAAAAATGCATAAAAGTTGCATGTTTATTGACAATTTTATGGTAACAAGGAGGATAAATTCCAACCATATTATTCCCATCGAAGCCATTCTATCAATATAAATATCAATATATAGCGAATACATCCCAAGCCTAAGTCATTGACCCTCTTCCTCCAGGGTTACAAGAACCAACCGGTTTATATTATAATTAAATTAACCTTAGTTAACCACAACACTTACATTTTTATAATTGAAATGACTGAAAACCCAAAAACGTAGTCCCGGTTCAGTTCGGTTCGGTTTAGCCCACGAGCTTTCACATCGGTCGCCGACCGAGAACAGATTCCACCCAAAAAAACATCGAGTCAACTCGGTTAGTCACCCATTCTCCGAGCCAGTCGAGATGACTCAGCCAGATACCGCCGGTATTCCTGCCAGTTTCCAGGCTGATGTGGCTATGAGCGGCCGAGTGTGCCAACCCAACATCAAGCAGCCGTCGTTCTCCTCCACACGATATCCCTCGCCGCCGTTGAACAGAGCCAAGAGCATACTCGCTTGCTTGAACGCATTCGAACCAAGATGGACCGGTGAGAACCCGGCCGAGCCGAATCGACTCCGCCACTGAGCCAATGTCTCGTGACGCTCGACTCGGTCCGGACCCTCGCACGCCACCACGTTGCAGATCTGCTTCCCCAAGTAGACTTCCGACATGACCTTGTCTTGGCTGTTTACCACTCCTTCCAACGAGTCGAACAGGGTCGAGTAGTAATGCAGCGACTCGGAAAACCGATCCAGGAACGCTGGGCTGTTGTGGTTCGACTCTTGCTCGACCACGGTAAAGATTTCCGGCTTCATCTGTTTAACAACGCCGAGGACCTTCTCCATCGCGCCGTCTCGGGCCAGAAGCTTGTGTAGCTCGAACACCGAGTTCACCGCCACCGACTCGTTCTCGCTCGGCCTGAGCTCGAGCACACACGCCTCGAGATCGGCCAGGCTGTTCGCGACAAAGCCACGGTATTCGAATTCCACGTGAATCGCCTCAGCCAGCTGAGCGAGCTTACAGCCAACATCGTGAAGGTAATCAGAATTATCAGGCGCCGGAGGTCCGATTCCAGTAAGCCGGAACACGGGAGGACCGCCAGGTCGGAGCGCGAGGGCCTGCATGAGCGCGGGCCATTGCAGACCTTGGTTCATTGAGAAATCTATGATATGAACCCTTTTCTTGCCTTCGACAGCTTCGAGAATAGCTTGGTTTGCCGTGAAGTGGGCGAACTTGAGGTACGGACAGCTCTCGTAGAAATGCATCTGAAGAGTGCCGGAGAGGGAGTGGTCGACCGGGTTATGTGGCGGACAGAGGCGGTAGATCCGCCGTGCGAGGGCTTCTGCGAAGTAAGTGGCGACCTTTCGCATGGCACCGGCCTGAGATACCGCCAAGGCGCCGATTTGCTTCACCAGAGCTTCCGCTATGGTCAGATTGTTCTTCTGGACGGCTTCAGCGCACGCCATGAGCGCGTGCACCAGGCGGATACCATTTTCCTGCGAATCGACCAGGACCACCGCCCGAGTGGACTCAGCCGCGGTGGTGGTTATCGTCGTACCGACGCATCCGCTGATCTGTGTCGCCGTGGATGTCGAAGCACGCACGGAATCGGTGCTTGAGCGTTTCAGCCGCTTGTTAGTATTCCCATCGATGTTCGACGAAGACGACGAATCGAACGCAGACTGATTCTGCTTCCGGCTCGGCTGAGGGTAAATCGCGTTTCCGGGAATAGCTTTCAGATCGTAATCAGAAGAGGACGGTTCATCAAAGGCCCGAGAATGCTGATTCGGAGCTCCGAACCCAATTGAACTGATCGTGGAGGATTCGGCGCCGGTGAGGAACGAAGTACCCATTTCCGGCGGCGAAGAAAGGAGAGGACCCAGACCACCGGGCTTGAGCTCCGACAATATGCTATCGAGCCAGGTGTAGAGCTCAGCGGGGTTGTAGTGTACGGTCTCCGTGGAGAGAAGGGACAAACCGTCGTCCTGAACATGAGTCATCATCTGTTCGAGCTGCTCAAGCTTGTGAGCAACCTCCGCCATATCAGAGGACATGACCTTGTAGCCGAGGACGGCGAGGAGCTCGTCCATGCCGGCGCCGTCGTCTTCAACCTTGAGCATCTTACCTTTGGGACAAGCAGAGGAGGAAGAAGAAGAAGACGGGGCGGGTAATCGGGAACGACTGAGATCTCTCTTCATGATTGGAGATGGCTGTTCTCCGGTCGATGTCCGTCCTTCGATCTGGGATCTAGGGTTTGCTTTTGCTCGCTGAAGAGATTATTCAGAGGGAAGAGAACATGTGACTGTGACTGGGTACGCATCGGGGATTGGGTGGGGTTTTTTTTCACTGCGACTGCCTCCAATTATCAGAATTGCCCGAAAATAAATAAATATTAATATTAATATTAATAAACCCTGAAGAGGCAAAAAACGCTCGTGATGGGGCTCGACCTCCAATGTCTTCACATCTCCAGCTCAAAGAGATAAGGTTGAGAACACTCACACACACCAAATAAAGAAACATGATTTTTTACATTTTCTCCTCTTTAATTTAATATTTTGCACCTTATCAAATAAAATGCTCGAAACATTTATACATTGAGTTTTATTTTATCGTCAGATCCGATGTTTTTCTATCAAATTTATAATTTAAGGGAAATGGTTTTGTCTTCTTTGTGTAAAAGAAAATGATTTTATCTTCCCATTTTTTTTTTTTATGATGAATCGAAGAAGCTTGCCCCATAGGGAACGGGGGACATATAATTAAATTGACTTTAAAGCTGAACAGAAATGATGATACTGTCTTAGTTCCGAGGTTCAATGGTAATAATGTAGCCATGTTTGTGGTAGAGAAGATTATCAAAGTAAAAGCACTTTATTAATACGTTCTTTAAATTTCTCTGGCTTTCAGTTCAGTTAACAGTATAAAACCGGGTCGTAAATATCAAATCTCAAAACGTCCGTACGCTATAAAACCTTGATTTAAAACAAATATAAAGTGCATACACACATATATATATATATATATATATATATAAAATCCATTATTATTCTCCTCGGTTCTAAATTATTTTTTTTACAAAGATGCATGGTATTCGTTAAAATAGTTTGAATATTAATAATTAATTCATATGTTGTTGTGGTATTTATCAAAACCTAGATATTTCTGTGAACTCGTTGGTAGTAGTAATATTTTACAACCAGGAATTCGCAAACCCCATCGTACGGCGAGGAATCCAATGGGAACAACACCGCCCCGTGGCCGTCAACGTCGAAATCCCCACTAGAAAGATTCCCGTGCAATTGCTTAACGCCGTTAATAACGGTATCTACCCTTATTTCAATACAAATAAAGAATGATTCGTACCCCTGCTTTCAGGGGCCCCACTTGTCTCATTTTTAAATAGGAAATATATGTGGAAGCTCGACCTGGCACCACGTGTAAATGGGTCCCACGAGGTCCCCTACCTGCCACCTTATAGTTACACGTGTCATCGTCTTAGTTCTAAGTTCTAACCGAAGGCCCATACGGCCGTTTCATGCTGTCCTTGTCTTCTTTTTTTGTCGTCACCGCTCGGGGCCTCCTTTCCTTTGATAAACAGCGTTACGTCCTTTTCTTGTGTGTTTATTTTATTTTATTTTTGATAACCCCGTTATTTTCCTTTCGCATTCGATTCAACATTTAAATTTTTCCTTCCTTTTTTTTAAAAAACATGCCCTTATTTAACCAAGGTGAACAGGTTTATTAAAAAGTAATATTTTAGATCGCTACAATATTGTTGATTATATCAAATACATGTTTGTTATTCGGAATTTTCGATTCAGCGTTTACTCGCTAGGTCGCCCTCCTCTCAAACGCCGTCTTTGGATTATTTGTATCTATACTTGAAGAATAAAATTTAAAATTTTGATAAAGTTAATCTACTCAAAATTTTATCGCTATCTTATCTGTAAACGTTTTTTCTGCGTCATTTTCAACGATTATGTGTTTACAATTTTTAATATACAGTGAATAAAATAATATAAAATTACCATATTATATTTGTTTGGTCATTATATATTTGGAATTGTTTAAAATATAAAAGTTTCTTAAAACGCTAATCAGATTAGCGTTTAACTTAAATACTTTAAAAACAATTTTATATATTACGCATCATATCGGCGTTAAGAGGTAGAGTTGAGAAGGGATGCAATGGTTTTGGGCCTTTGAGAAATATAATTTGCATGCACCAATCATAATGTACGTTCACCATCAGACATCTACACCCCCTTACTTTTTTATTTATTTAAATCATGTATTTAATATCCTCCACTCATATTTTTTTCTCTTAATCATGTCGTATTATTTTTTTTAGACGGATATCATTGACCAAATTCCAAATTATTTTCGGGATAAAAAATTAACCATAATTTAGATTATATGTTCTTTTTCTAAATTTAAAATTTGAATTCTGGACGAGATAAACGCGCTTTAAAGTTGAATGATCTTAGGTCATGTCGTATTATTTTAACTATAAATACAAATGCTTATGATTTTATGATTAGCGGGTAATGGACATCCAACAGGAAAATTCAAAAATAATAGATTACATATATATAAGACGTCGCGCATACATATTTGGATTTGAATAACTTGTCTATCTGACCGAGCCCTCAATAATTTCATGCAAATCCTCTCCTTATAATTCTATAATTTCGGCGTATTAGGAATTTATTTTTTCCTTTCTGGTGGAAGGCCGAAAATGAAAATGGTGTCAAATCGACTGTCGTGCCTTCGTGTATATATATATAATGTCACATCAACTATTGTAATATAATTTACACTTTTTTTAAGAAGAATCGAAATAGACCAGAAGTTAATTAATTTGTTTTTTGGTAGAGCATTGAGAACTGTAGGCATACTCATATATATATATATATATATATATGACATATTCATTGTAAGGACAAAATGGAAAAAAAAAAGACAGCTGGAGATAGGCTGGCTCCAAATCATGAAAGCGTTCAATGGCGAGTGTAATCCACTCGCTCTCACACGTGGCATTTGCTTTACACCGTGCTTGTATAATTGTAACGTTTTTTTTCTTTCTAAACAGTTTTCCATATATTTTAACTGACCTTAGACCGGAGAAAAGTGAAATTCTGTCACACTCAATTAAAAGACTTGGTGCTTAATTTTGTTTGGAGTTTTTTTTTTCTTATAGAAAATGGACATATTCATTGTAATTGATAATGTTCTTATTAAATAATATTGTATGCGTTTTTTCAATATAAATGTGGTAGACTCCATTTTGACCGGCACGGAGTCTCAGGCAGTGCCTCGGGTGTGACCGGGCACACGTGTCCCAACAAAGAATGAACACTACACTAAATATTCTGCTCTAATTCTTTTATGAGAGAGTGTGTGTGTATATATATATATATATTATTGTGACGCATTAATAATAATATTTAACATTTCCAGGCCACGTGAACTTCACATTGAAATAAGGTGTCCACATACCCAAGGAGCATTGTTTGCATTATTCGGCTTCGGTGCAGGAAGCATGAACTTCACATGGACATAATCAAGTGATAGTTTTGGGTATTATTGGATTAAAGACTGAAAACCAATGCAACAAATGGCACACTCCGTGTCCCTTATGGGCTTCCAAGGCCACAACGTCAGTTCACATTGAGGCCCGGAATTCGTGTCTGCGCATTTTGGTACCCGCAGTATTTGATATTATTGAATTTGTATCAATTGTTTAATTTGTCGTTTTCAGTACACGACATTTAGTGGAATCATACCGAAGATTGTCCAATATATACGAATCATTTACGGAAAGAGTAGAAAACGGTGAAAATGTAGACACCGAGAGAAGAGGAGACCAGGACGACGAGGGCCAAGACGGTGTGGGAAGCCAGAGGATTGCCACAGGAAAGTAAACCTAAGCGGAGTTGGATAACATCAACCATTGAGAGCAGCCCATTACGCATCCTCCCGCCGACCCAACCACCCCGAGCCTTAGCACGTTCTCGTGTAACTTTGTTCAAGTGTAAGGTACGTGTTACTATTATTTATGTATACGATTCGTTTGTTTAGTGAACCATCTTCGCTGATGGGCCTTCACTAACCCAATTTCGTTAATTCTTAGATATTTTCGGCAGCGAGCGCAAGGAGTAAAAAACAGATTGGGATAGAGCGAGCAAAACCACAGGGAGCGATGGCGAGCTTATCCACCATTTTCTCCGTCACCAGATCTTCTACGACCAGCGGCTCTCCATCTCCCGCGAAGAAAACTGCTAGGAGAGTCAAGGGTCGAAATAGAAACTTGCGAGAGCAGCGTTCAGACAAGCCCTCGGTCATCCAAATCGAGCGCGCCATCGGAGCCGGGTCGTATCGAGACTCCGAAAGCGGGTACGTATACGAATACATTTGAATCGGAGTGTATACGCTTCGAATTATGTGAAATTCATAACTGCCAAATAGTGAATATGGGGAGGGATACATATATACATGGGTTGGGGTTGGTGAAGGGAGAAGGAGGGGAGGAATACGGTGTTGGATGGGATATTGATGGGAAATGCTAACAAGTTCGAAAGCCCCCTCGAGAAGAAGCTCCGTGAGTTGAGCGAAGCTTTCGTTGCTCGCACCGAGTCTCGGTTCCGTTCCAACGGTACCCTTCTTTCTTCCCTTTTCAAGTCTCAACAACTCTCGTCTATAGCCTCTCTCTCTCTCATGTGTATATGTACAAATGCAACCTTTTTGATAAAGGGAAAACGCTTCTGATGATTGCTTTCCAATGGATTCTACCAATGTGGACAGTGTCGCTGCTCGTCGCCTGTGGAGTTGTAAAACTTCCCTTTAGCCTCCCTTTTCTCGACGATTTGATCATGTGACACGCTCGCCGCTCTATATGTACATGTATATCTACGCTTATACTATGGTGGGTTAATGTTGTTTTGTATTCAGCATCTCATGTCTTATATGTGCGTGTATGATGAGATGTTAAGAAAACTTGGATTGGAGGACAGAGTGGCAGGTGACCAACCATATGTATCTGATAAGACAATGCAATGCAGCATTCTCTCACTTGGGTATGCTATTACTTAACCAACTCCTTTTATTACATGGATACAACACATGTTTTTGAATTCAATTCATTCAACTGTCATGTTCCCCCCCCAAGAGAATAAAACACAAAGTAAATTAGGATGATGATCAACACACCACAAAACAATAACCAAATAACCATTCGAGGGTCGATTTCTGCTGTGCTTTGTCCCCCACACAGTCTGTCAAAAGTGAAAAGAGAGTCCCAAAAGGAAACTTTTGCACCTTTCCTCCATTGTCTACTATTTCCCTCTTATACATATACATATATAAATGTAATTAAAGCATCCAAGTACTGCATTTATTATTCAAATCATTACATGTATAATCACATATTACAAACACAGGGTGGCAGGTTTTGTCTATTGCCAGAGATTTGCTTTGCGTGTAATTCAATTAAGAATCACACACATAACATAAACCTACCTCCACACAATAAACCCATTTTTGCATGAATGAATACGTCCGGTTTCTATTTATACCATCATTTCATTTTATTTTTCTTGTCTGTCAAACATTGCAAAGTGGAAATTTAAAGTAGTAGTAATCATATGATATACCATCTTTTTATTTCCGTTAACTTTTGTCTGTCGATGCTAATTACGATAAAACAAAAATAATATTAAAAAATGCGGAATATAAACTTATTCCTAATTTCAACCCCCCAAAATAAACAAAATATATATATATATGACCGATTTGCCAAAGTGGGAAGAAATACACAAACGGAACAATTCCGTCGCTCGCATCTTTGCCTGTTTTCTCCCTTCTCCCTGTGAATTTTCCCTGAGATTTTCTCGGAAATATTCTAGGGTGAGAAACGAATCCTCCGGTCTCATAGATAGATAGAGGGAGATCGATCTGGGCCCTCGCCTAGTTCCCGATGGGAACGCTTCAGACATGGCGAAGAGCCTATGGAGCCCTAAAAGACACCACCAAAGTCGGCCTTGTCCGAGTCAACAGCGATTACGCCGTACGCGTCTTCCGATTCCTCCCCCTTCTTCTTTATCGTTTGATTGAATTTGGATATCCTTAAATTCCTGAATTATATCTCTAATAGATTCGATTTTGTTTTCCGGCATTTTTCTATTATTAGGATTTAGATGTCGCCGTAGTCAAAGCCACTAACCACGTCGAGTGTCCTCCCAAGGAACGGCATCTCAGAAGTGAGTAATTTGTTTTCCATTTCTTTCTTTTTTTTTTTGTCTGGAGTTCTTAGATCTGATTTCTCTGGTTTTCGGTTTTTTCCTTTTCTGGGTTCGTTGTTCCAGAAATCTTCTTTGCAACGTCGGCGACTCGGCCTCGAGCAGATGTTGCTTACTGCATCCACGCGCTTTCTCGGCGATTGCATAAAACTAGAAACTGGACGGTATGTATTTATCCTCTCGGATGGAAGATTGTGATTTGATTTTTGTTAGGTATATGAATTTTGGTGGTGCTGTTCATCAAGATAAGTGTTTACGCATTCTAAGTATTGATATGTGTTATTGTGGATCAGTATCATCAAGATAAGGGTTGTATTGTTTGCTCATCGATATTTCTGATCTCGATGTCTGATGATGGTTTGTGGATGGTGTTGGGAGTTTGATGTCTGTTTTTCGTTTAAATTATTCTGTTTGCTGATGTTCCTAATACCTTACAATGTTTATACATTATATTCCGTTTTGCCTGTTTTAACAGGTTGCACTGAAAACCCTTATAGTCATACACCGTCTCCTGAGGGAAGGTGATCCGACATTTAGAGAGGAACTGCTCAACTTCTCTCAAAGAGGACGTATTCTGCAGCTCTCAAATTTCAAGGATGATTCAAGCCCTATCGGTAAGTTTCTTGTTGTGTGTATGCAATTATTCGTTGGAAATAATTAGGTTGTTCAATGTGTTTGGATAATCCGGTCTATCATGCACTGGAATAGCTCTTGCTTCTTGGGTTCTAAGGTTCTTGCGGAGTTTCACAAAAGCTGATTCGGTATTTTTTCCTATTATTGGGGTTTACAGCCTGGGATTGTTCAGCCTGGGTACGTACATATGCTTTATTCCTTGAGGAAAGGCTCGAATGCTTCAGGGTCTTAAGATATGACATCGAAGCAGAACGGCTTCCAAAACCTGCTCCTGGGCAGGATAAGGTAACAATACTTCACCTACTTGAATTTGTGGTCTGAACTCCTCTGGTTTTCTAATGTGAATTCGAGTTGCAAAATTTGAGGGTCAGGGGTACAGCAGAACCAGGGATTTGGACAGTGAAGAACTCTTGGAGCAGTTGCCTGCTTTGCAGCAGCTTTTGTACCGTCTCATTGCCTGCAAGGTATTTTTTTCCTCTCACACTGTCTTTCTTCCACGTCCATTTTGTTTTCCAGCTCTGGTTTTATCCTAGGTTGTTGTGTTGCTGTGATTATTGCTAATGTATTAAATGCTCTTGCTCCTTTTTTTAGCCTGAAGGTGCTGCTAACCACAATCATGTCATACAATACGCACTTGCTTTGGTAAGTGATAATCAGACCTCAAGCAAAGGATTTATGATTTCCATTTCCGCACTTGGACCCAGTACTTGGTGCTTTGTTCTGAAGATTGTATTTATTCTACAACAAAAACAGGTTTGTAGTTAAATATTGACCTTTCTGTTATACTATTCTCAGGTCTTGAAGGAGAGCTTCAAAGTCTACTGCACCATCAATGATGGAATTATTAATCTCGTAGATAAGGTATGTATTTATGTCCAGCTTATACTACGGCTTTGTCACTGTAGCTTTCGTCCATATCTATCTTGGTTTGCTTTATTATCCCCACTCATATTTGTCTGTATTGCAGTTCTTTGAAATGCCAAGACATGAAGCAATCAAGGCCCTTGAAATATACAAGCGTGCGGGCCAGCAGGTGATGTTAAACTAATTTCTCCACCAGCTTTGAAGAGATTTCCACTTGTCTAGGCACCTCTTCCCGAGGTTTCCAGTGGTTACATATCTATATTCTTGGCATTTACCTTCTCATCAATTTGCCCACAGGCTGGTAACCTTTCTGATTTCTATGAAGTCTGCAAAGGACTGGAACTTGCAAGGAACTTCCAGTTTCCTGTTCTAAGAGAGGTACCGTACAAGCATTAGCCCCCAATGAATTTGGTAACGATAATTATGCTGTAGATTAATGCAAACTATACAAACATTTTACTCTATCAAGCCACCACAATCTTTTCTTGCAACAATGGAGGAGTATATCAGAGAGGCACCAAGGGTGGTGGACGTCCCAGCTGAGCCACTGGTATGCATATTTTCTTAGCACACAGAGTTAGAAGAAACTCTAGCCTAGCCAATGTTTGGACTGAAGTGCTAATTGTCTACATGTAGCTTCTGACATATAAGCCAGACGAGGGCTCTTCTGCTGAAGATGCCAATCCTTCACATGAAGAACCTGAACCATTACCTTCTGAAGATACTGTTGCACCCTCAGAGGAGGTACAACCTTCACCTATGCTCCCTTCAGCTGAGCGTTCTCAGAACATCATTGACACAGATGACTTATTGGTGAAAATCTTCTTTCTCATCGTCTTGATTTTCAATTTGGTTTTGTCACAGTTCTCCCCTCAAAGTTTTTATTTGTTCTTGTTGGTTAGGGTCTGAGTTCTGCAGCGCCTGATGCATCTGTGATTGAGGACCAAAATGCTCTTGCTTTAGCCATTGTTCCGACCGATGGTGGGTGTGTTTATTTCTGCTATATGCAATATCATCTGAGCATTTGCTTGGACTGTGGAGGGTTTTTCAGTTTCTTTGGCTTTTCATTTATCTCTTCTTCAACGGATTTCAGGAAATAACAGTTCTACAACCTCTGGATACGGTCAAGTAAAAGAGTTTGATCCCACGGGGTGGGAGCTTGCTCTGGTCACCACGCCCACCCCCGACATATCTGCAGCCACTGAGAGGCAATTGGTAAGACACTTTTGTTCTCTCTCATGTTCTTCTCGCCTTACCCTTTTCGCCAATGATGCCCCTCCCTCTTCATGCTTCAAAATTATAGGCTGGTGGCTTGGACACGCTCACTCTGAACAGCTTATACGAGGAAGGAGCCTACAGAGCCGGCCAGCAGCCTGCCTATGGGGCACCAGCCCCCAACCCTTTCGAGGTCCAAGATCCTTTTGCATTGGCCAACGTCGCACCTGCGCCTGCTGTAAACAACCCCTTTGCCCCCTACCAACCCATCTATGCCCCCACTCCTACCAACCCTTTTGGTGATTTTCCGGTTAACCAGCCGCATAATAACACCACTGGTTTTGGAGATTTTCCGGTTAACCCTGTCTCTCAGCTGCCGCATTCCACCGGTTTTGGGGATTTTCCTGTTGGCCCTCCTTCGCATCAGTCACATAACAACCCCTTCGGAAGCACTGCCCTACTGTGATCTTTCTCCTCCACTTTTTCAACTCTTTGATCGTTGTGGGTAAATGAGTTACAATGTTCTTTTGGTTTGATATGGAGCAAATTAAATCTTGGTCGGCTCGGGGGTGAATATAGATGTAGAACTACTACTTTCGATTGCTATTGTAATATTTGTCTGTTCAATTAGATAAGCGAACAGAGAAGCACAAACTTCTGGTGTACCTTCCAATAGGATTTTGACACGCCTGGGCTTATTATAACAGCTTAGGGAATCTTGAATCGATTAAATTCTTTTTTTTTAAAAAAAACAGGGATAATATAGTAATCTCGTAAAAAGTTTTAGGGTTTGCCATCGACACGTCAACAATCCGAAAGGATAATGGTATGACAAGACCAGAGCCGTTGGATCCAATTGCAAAGCTAGAATCCCCTAACCGCCCGATCAAACTCTCCAACTAAAACAATATGTGATTTTTGTCACCATTGATCACGTAAACGGTAAACGGTAAACCCCTTTACCATTTTTTTAAATTCCTCTACACAGTGTTCTTCGCTTCAGCGCCCCCTCAAACAACACCTCTCTCTCTCTCTCTCTCTCTCTCTCTCTCTCTCTCTCTCTCCTGATTCAAAATTCACATGGCGACTGAGAATTCGTTTGTTCCAGAGTGTGCTCCGTCGTCGGAGCAAAATTCGTCGCAGGCGCTCGATCTCCCACCGTATCCTCAGGTAACTCCAGATGCCCCAATTCCCTCAGATTTTGGGAATAATTCCTTCGATTATGGCGGATCTGAATTTGTTTGCAAATTTTAGATGATAATGGAAGCGATCGAGGCCTTGAATGATAAGATTGGCTCCAACAAGACGGCGATCTCTAAGCACATCGAGTCCCTGCATCCTACCCTTCCCCCGTCTCATGCCACGCTGCTCAGTTACCACCTCAGCCAGTTGAAGCATAACGGCCAGCTCGTGATGGTGAAGAACAATTACATGAAACCAGATCCCGGCGCTCCGCCTAAGCGTGGCCGCGGCCGTCCTCCCAAGCCCAAACTTCCGGTGGATTCCAACGATGTCACCGCCGCAGCTCCACCGAGATCTAGGGGTCGTCCACCCAAGTCGAAAGAGCCATTGGAGCAGTCGAATCCTCCAAATACGAAGCCCTACGCCGGCACCGGTAGGCCACGTGGACGACCGTCGAAGAAGGCGAGATCAGATTCGGGGACGAACGCTGCTTCGGCGGCGGCTCATGTGGCACCGGTAGCTCAGCCGAACGGTGAACGTCGTGGCCGTGGAAGGCCGCCGAAGGTGAAGCAGATCGTGGCTCCGGTTGGTTGTTGAGGTTCTGCTTATGCAGATGAACAGCTTTTATGCAACTCCATGAAATGATTATGAAACCTTCAAACTTGGAGATAATGAGTTAGCTTCTATCCGCTGATTGCAGCACATGTTTGTGTTGAGTTCTTCGAGTTGTTTTGTTTCTAATCCAAAGGGTAATTGACACATCATCACATCGAAAATCAATTTCTATATTTCAAAATGTGAATTATGGGTACATAGGTTGAAGTAAGCCCAATTCATTATAACTCACTAGCCGGGCTATAGAGAAAGCCCAAAGTTCACTATGTAAAATCAGGCCCAACACGTAATTCATGGGTTCAAAAGAACCGCATATATTATATCGTTGAAATCTATATATTTTTTGTTTAAAATTCTCATATATTTTTTTTGTCTACTAATAGGCGGAGACTTGGGATGACTTGTCAGATCACGACACGACCGACTTCAATGAGATTTTTTTTCTTCTTTTAAATATGAAAGGGAATATGAATCAAGTGGGTGCTAATTTGTTTTTTATATTTAGGATGAAGCCAAAGAGATCAAAGCCAAGTGGTGGTGTTTCCATTACGGCGGCTTTCATGGGCATTTCTTTATCTATATACATATATACGTACAAGATGTCTTGAATCCCTTTTCTTCCAATTTAGACATTGCAAGAATATCTCGATGGAAAATATTTCATACATAAAAAAAAAACACGTTGAAACTCGAACACCCAACCCATCCCACGGAATTGCTTATGAATGGGGTTCCATTGTCAAAATTTTAGCAGCCTTGGATTGTTCAAATAATTCAACGTTGCGTGTGATTCCGACGTTAAATTTGATATTAAATGAAGCAGACCTCTATGTATTATTGATATTGACCGAGAAGACCCTTATTCCATCGACCCACTTGCCTTTCCTCATTCATCACCGCACCCACTCTCCCATCTCATTTCTCCTACCTCCATTATTATTGTCTTTCGATTTGATTTAATTAATTCATCCAGAAAATGAACCCCACCCACATTCAAAACAATCTTACAAATAAACACATGAATCGCATGTCGTAAATGGGAAATTACACTGTTACAACAGAAAATGGGAAAGAACCTGACTTCTCCTTATAAATATATATATAAGCGGCGGCATAGGGGATGAGCTACAAAGTAAGCGCTCTCTCTCTCTCTCTTGAAAACATGCAAGCGCAGGGCACCCATGGGAAGTTTCAAGCTGAGGTCGAATGGTCCACCGGTTTCTGCGACTGCTTCTCCGATTGCTCCAACTGTATGTGCATGGTTTTATCATTTCACAAATGGGTTTTATATATATATATAGAGAGAGAGAGAGATGTTTATCGATCATCAAAGATTGCAAATCATCACACTTTTGTTTGGTTTGCGATTGAAGGTTGCATCACTTGCTGGTGTCCTTGCATTACATTCGGCCAAGTTGCTGAGATTTTGGATCGAGGATCCACATGTAAGTTTACCCTTTTAATCTGTATATGTTAGCAAGTATTCGTTGTGAATGATGGTGACGGTGATGATGATGCCAGCATGTGGAACGAGCGGAGCTCTGTACGCACTGATAGAGGTGTTCACAGGATGCGGATGCCTCTACTCATGCGTGTATAGGACGAAGATGAGGAGACAATACAACATCAAAGGCGATGACTGCGGAGATTGCTTCAAACATTTCTGCTGCGAACTCTGCGCCCTCACCCAACTGTATCGCGAACTCAAGACCCGCGGCTTCGATGTTCCTCTCGGTAACTTTTCTACCATCATCATCATCATCATCATCAGTGGTGTATTACTCATAAATGCATGCATGTGTATGTGTCATCAATTTTAGGATGGCAGGGGAACGTAGAGCGGCAGAATCCGGGCATTGCGATGGGGGCACCTGTCATTGACGCCGGCATGACTCGTTAATTAAACTCAAAAGGGCATTGTGTATGTGTTAAAATCAAAAGGGGATATGCTCCCCCCGTGTTTAAATCACAACGATAATCATTCCATTGTAACTTTCCTTTTATGTATTCTCCTCATTATCCGCAATTAAATAAAGATATATTACACTCTCTATGGTCCGATAATTTTTGAACATTTTGGTCCAAAGCAATCAAACAAGAAAATAATACCTTAATTAAGGATAACATTTTTTCGCTGATAATTGAGATGGATATTTTCTGTTACAGAGCCTGTGTCGAGTGGCTCTGTTTCATTGCTTATCGAATAAGAAAAGAGGGAACAAGAGGAGATAAAAGGAACGGGGAAAGACGAAAAGAACGAGAGACAAAAAATGAGAAAGCCAAACGACGGAGGAGAAGAAGAACAATGGAGATCAGTTCTCGAGGTTTTACAGATCGTTCTTCAGTACCTTCCTTCTGTGTACGAAGTTCTGAGCATGAGCCGCCTTTGCCAATCACTCAGAAACTCCATCAGACACGAAACTGCTTTGTGGGCAAACATCGTTGTGGATGCTCCGCTCAGCCCACGTCTCTCTGATGAGATTCTGTCGGATATCACTTCCAGAGCCGCCGGAAAGCTGACGACTCTGATTCTCCGGCAGTGTCCGAGGATTACGGACGAGGGGCTTCGACGTGTGGTGGACGCCAATCCTCTTATCACCACGGTATTTATTCTGTTCACCGTGTATCTGCGTTCTGTCCCAAGAACATCGATTGATGAAAGAATTAAGTCTGTTTGGAACAATCCAGATCCGGAAAAAAGCTTAAAGGTTGCAACTTTTTTTGAATAGTGCAAAGTGTAGAACTTTCCGAAGGTTTTAGTCAGGGCTATACTAGGAATTTTGTACCTTTTGTCCGCTAATGATGTCTTCTTCACCGGAATCTTGTTTATCATCTTCTGGAAATTTTTTCAGATGATTGTGAAGGGTTGCACAGGCTTAACTCCAGAAGGGATCGTCATAGCGGTTCAAATCCTAACCAAGAACAACCATAAACTAGAGACCCTTCACGTGGACGGCATCTATGGATTTACCAAAGATCATCTCTCAGTAATCCGTAGTTACCTTCCGCCTTCAGCCATCGACGTAGACGTCTGTCCCAAATGCGACCAAGTCAGGATGATTCCACCTTGCTCACGGCAGTCTTGTGTGAGTGAATTGAGAATGCACTTGTCTTTCTTATTTACACAGCTGATGTTTGTGAAATTTGAAGGAATTTTCCTTTTTTTTTTGTTGTCTTTAAGATGGAGCAAAGGAAAGACAGAGGGTGCAAAGGATGCAGGTTTTGCATCCAAAGATGCGTGGAGTGTGGTGTGTGCGTTGTTGGATCAGACGCAGAGGTTGAAGAAACTGTATGCGGTGACGTTCTCTGCCTTGACTGCTGGCTTCTTCTTCTTCCTAAATGCAGCTTCTGCAATAAACCCTACTGCTCTTCTCACCAGCAGCTTGCTCCTACTGCCATGGCCGATCAGTCTTTGTTTGTATGTGAGGCTTGTCAACTTGCTCCTAGTGCCATGTATGATGACTTTGAATGGTAAATCTGTAGGCATTATTGCATCTTTTTGTTTTTGTTTTTACTTGAATGCAACACAAGGAAGGCGGTCATCATGTTACGGATCCGAATCCACAACAGATGCAGCAGATCCAAGAAACATGACAAGAACTCGACTCATGGCAAAAATTAAAAGAATCGAATGTTCAGCTCACTGGAACTGTGACTGATTACTATATACCCCTGAAATCTAAGAGCTACTACCCCAAGAGACCTCCGGTTAAGGAGAGCATCAGAACAAAATTGGGTACACAATAGTACAACACCCGGGGGTTCTTTTATCCCACTGTTCCAGAAACACTCGCAAGAAAAAATAAAACGAAAGAAGAATTGAGTCCTCTACAAGAACACTGGGGCAATGATGAGCAGAAGAACGAGAACCGCAGAGTTAGCAAAAGACGGGCAGTGGTGATTGAACCGGGGGAGGCAGCCGGAGGTGGAAGAGTTTGCCGAAGGCGCATGTGCCGTGGTGTTTCCGTGCGTCCCATTTCTGCCGGAACTGCCCACGATAAAGAAATAACTTGGAGATTTTATTGCAGATATGATTACACGAACAAGATAAACGTAAAGTTTGAGTCTTTTGCGGGGAAAAAAAAAGCACCTTCCAGGGAAAACGCACGAGCCATGGCCTGCAAAACAGAGCACACCCCAAAAAAGACCCATTTGCAGTGATGAAGCGGATCAATGGTCTAAAGCAACAACAAGACTTGAGGGTAAGGAGATAAAGTGTACATACTTGGATCAGTAGAGGTGACAGTTGCCACTCCCTTGAAATCACAACTTCCTGGAGACTTAGCCATCTTCTGATAATAAGCGTTAAACGCATAAGACGAATGCGCAACCACGCTGTCCGGCACATAACACGGCTCACCCTGCAGCAACGGCGAGCAGTCGACTTTGCCGGGACCGCAGGCCCAGTCCAAGGCGGCCTGAAGCATCTTCTTATCAACGCTTTCCTTGGCAACACAAAACGTCTGGTTAGTCGTGTCATTGGCCAGTACTGTTCCAGCACCTGCCAAACGCAACTCATAAACGGGCGTTCCATTTGAGTAGAAGAGTCCCCAATTCTGCTCGGAAACAGGTCCAGGACGTGAATCCTCATTGTAGAGCTCGTAGAGATAGGTGCTAACAGCGATCCCCGGGTGTTTAGGAGTTCCAGTGTTGTTGAGAACGTGTCCGATCAGGTTGCTGTTGTAAGTGTTAGCGTTGTCAGTAGTGGCATCCCGTTCAGACGGACCACCCTTTGAGGGCCATCCAGATTCAGTTACCACAATTGGAACGTTGGTGAAGTTTAGATATAACATTGCAAAGTAGGCTGCATCCACCACCGCATCAAAGACGTTGGTGTAGTGCAACAAAGTGTTGGCATCCACAGCTTCTTTGTTGGCCTTTAGGTGATCCAAACAAGAAAATAAAAAGATTGGAGCAATTGTTTCGGATTTTTCTTTTTCTAAATGAAAAAATTGACATACCTGGAGAGGGCGGAAAAGTGCATAATCCAGAGGAATCACGCCATTGGATTGAACGTAGTCGTAGTAAGGGTAAACGTTGAGCATCAGATACGATCCTGTAGACTGCAGAAACTTCAGGAGAGGCACTATTACTGGCTCCCAAGTTTTGTTGAAGAACGCCTGTGACGGTGGAAAAGAATCAAGAATGATGGAAGAAGAATGAGGGGTCGAAACTTTGATCTGACGGTCAAGATTGGCCGCAACAAGAGCCGACTGGAGATACTTGAGGGCCGAGACAAGGACAGGGGCTGCATTTGGAACTGTCGTGAGAACCTCTGACCCAACCGCAACAGCAGTTATATTGGTGGCCGGGACATAGGCTGCAACATTTCTCGTGACCCAGTTGGCTGCGGTTGCGTTTGACTGGCCAATCCCGAGGAGTTGGTCATTGGGGACGGAGACAATGACCTCAATGCCAGTGTTGGCGAGGGCTAAGAGCATTGCACGGTCAGCGTCATAGAGCCGGACGTGGCGAATGTTCTGTGTTTTGAGAAGAGCAACCACTTGGGTGGGACTAGGCATGTCTGTGAGGTCCGTACCAATGTTTACACCTACGAAAGCATCTGACAATGACAACAACGTTAAGGATTCACCGATTCCTGACTTAGAAAGTGGCATAATTGCTTCCAAGAACCCTGATGGAAAACGTGTAAACAATGATACATTTATTCCGATTCTTTCCCTGAGTACTGGTTTTCTTTCTCTCTCAAAATACTGAAAAATCCAAAGATCTGAATCTGGTTTTATCACAACTATTCGCACTTAACCGATACACAAAATAAGAGAGAGCGCAAGAAATGTAAATGGGCAAAGAGAGGCTGCCATAGCCGTTAAGATTCCCGTACCATTATATGCTTACTGGTTATGGCCAAATATTAAAGATTGCTACAAAGGCAGATACATCATTGATATATTAGTCAAGGGTGTCAAGATCCCTTTCATACGCAACTCTCTACATCTTCCAAGATACAAGTGAGAATCCAAGTGCTTCACTTGCTGGTGCAAAGTGTCAACATTACCCTTGGAAGCAGGTCTCTGGGTTAAGCCAAAGACCTAATACTGAGGGTATTTTAGTCCAAATAGTAAGACCCAGTTCGCAGAGTACTGCAAATGTGAGCTGGAATGCAACACCCATTCTTTGAGATTCCCATTAAAGGTGAAAGATGGAAAAAAAAAAAGGGAACTCGGGTCTCCCAAACATAAAGTTAGAAACCCAATCATATTTTTGGAAGGAACAACATCAAGTAAGCATCTACAGCTGAACAATGGAGTGATAACTCAAGTGAAGAGAAGCAATTTCTGTTCCGGAAATAACAAAAAGACGACGCCTTTGAACATTGGAGAAAAACCCGACGGGTCAGGATATTTTCTAATCAATGTGGAGTGCGTATAGCTAAAGAAGAAACTGTTAGTTGAAAAGTATACAAGAGAAGCGTACCTTCAGAGAGAGCGGAGGCAGAAGAGAGGAAGACGAGAAGGAAAAGAAGGGCAGCCATTGATGGACCCTGGAATCAAAGTCTCTTCAGAACCATACGAACAAGACAGCGCTCGAAGAAGCCAAGTGACCCACGACACAAAATCTCGCCAATAAATTTATTCGATATTTTCAGGGTAAAGGGTGGGGGGTGTCTTTGAGAGAGAGAGAGAGAGAGAGAGAGAGAGAGAGAGAGAGAGAGAGAATCCGAGAGCGATGATGAGGAAATAAGAAAAAGATAAAACTGAAGCCTGATGAAGTTGTTTAAAACATTTTTTTTGTAGGGTTTAGTAATTCTAAATAATGGTTAAACCCAATATAATAGCTAATATTCAATGAGAGCTTTAAATTGAAAAAAAAATATTACGGAAAAGTAAATCGCTAATTAATTGTAAAAAAACATAAAGAAAATAATATGATGAAACATCTTTTGTCTGAGTGGTCTGTCCTGACTCTGAATCTATTCAGGCAAACGAAAGATACGAACAAAAAAAATTTATTATTATTTTTTATTGGGATCAATATACATTAACATTATAGAGTCGTGAAATACATTTCTAAACTAGGTTTGTAAATTGTTTTTGTCAGTAACCTTCTCTTTTAAAGTTTTGTTTCTCTCTCGTGACAGCGTTTTAATGGCAGGAGAAAATAATTTGACAGTTTACAAGGAGGAGGTAGATTCAGTTCAACGGTCACCGATGCATTTTTTATTTTTCTAAATATGTGTGTGTGATTATTCTATGCATTAATTAATTTTGATGATACTAATTATCAGGACCAAGGCCGCAAGCAACGGTCATCGATGCACTTGGGTTTTTTTTTTCCCGAGAAAATTTTCGTTTTTACTGCAGGCCCAGTTCTCTCTCTCTCTCTCTCTCTCTCCTTTTTAAGCTCACCGACGGCCCATTTTGCTCCGAGTTTGTAGACTATTGACATTCACCGGTTGGTGGAGTAAGAAGAAGAAAGGGATCAAATCTCTTCACTTTAAATGATGAACGTTTCAAGGTGAAAAAAGACAGGGAGAGATGGGCATACAATCACCAAACCAGAGCTGACAATATGTCCTTCCGAGTTCCACTTATTTACAGTGTAACAATGCATCAAACACTTGAAATGATGTCAGTAATAGGCAACGTTTCGCCTCAGGCTGAATTACTGCCGAGGGGTTCGCTGATCTCAAGGAGCTCATTCGAGAGACCTGTGAATAGAAGAGAGTCGGTCTCCATCGGCCTGAACTTGATCAAAGCAGCCGGAACCAACTCTTCGTCTTCTAAGGTTCTTGGGTTCTGTCCATGCGGAGTGGAATGGGGAATCACGCGCCTCCTCACCAGGACAGGGTCCAGAAGCTCGAACTGCAAACTGGGTTCCTTCAGAGCCGAGCTCACAAACTGTCAAGGAGAAACCGATGCCACTTGCGTTCAAAACCTTAATCTCAATAGCTCTAATGCATGCTCTTGCATAAAACCTCTATACTATAGGTGCTGATAGATTGAGTTTCTAGATGCAAATGCAGGCAAGAAAGATGATGATGCCTCAAACGTATGCTTGAGAAAGTTGAGTATTTGAATTGCCATTCTGGCCTAAAGAAGAAACTTCAAATGGTCATTGCATGAATCAACAGAAGACACTCAAATAATGGCGAGTATTAAGATTCATATGATAAAAGGAGAGTGACCTCGTAGAGGGCCGTAGTGGGCTCCCATGGAGCAAAAACGCCTTGAAGGACCACCCCATCAGGGAATTGAACTCTGATTATGGTTCTCTTATATCTCTTTCTAGCCGCTTTTGCCTGCTTTTCCTTGAACGACTTGGGGATCAACAGCTGGGATTCTGCCATTTTTTTCCTCCTCATCTCTGCTTCCCTCTTCACTTCTTCGGCTGAGAGGCTGTAGAACGAATCCGGCAGCTCTATTCTCGCTGCTACACTTTCAGGCACCGAGAAGAAAACCCGAATCTAGAATCCGCCCAAGTGCAGAGGCGAAAGAAAGATCCCAAAAGTCACATGCTTTACTTTGAAAATCATCATTAGGATGAATGCCGATAACAATTCACCAGAATTACCAGAGAAATGGCTCCACTTTAACAGAGCAGAAACATACACATAAATAATTATAAAGCAATTTACCTGTCTATCGATATTCTTCGGCTTCGCAGGAACCTCTGCAACAACAACCGGAGCTGAAGATTCAGAATTCTCATCCTTCTTAGACACCTCTACCTTTCTTTGTTCCAGTAATCCGACAACCTTATTGACCAACTGTACACGGTCATCGTCCGGAACCTCCATCACCGCACACATCTCTCCAGCTTCCTCTTTCAACTCGAATCCGACAAACTCGAGAAGCTCAATCCCTCCGGGTACTTCCCCTATGGCTTCCTTAATCTTAGGATTGCTTAATCTAATCTTCCTGAACTTGGCAATCTCGGGTTCTTTCACAATGTTCTTCAGCAGTCTAAGAACCACATCAACCGCGCTCTCCGGCGGCTTGCTGGATAGATAGACCGCGACGAGATTCTGAACCTCGGACTTGTTCTCATTCGCGCTACCCTCGTTCACAGACGAACAGTTGTCTCCATTGCCACTGATGAGACAGTTTTCCACGTGAACAGACACATCTTCCTCCGACGTGAAAGAACTTCCACAGATCGGGCACTCGAACGTATTCAGTGAATACCCATTTTGCCTTATTGACCAACTGTACACGGTCATCGTCCGGAACCTCCATCACCGCACACATCTCTCCAGCTTCCTCTTTCAACTCGAATCCGACAAACTCGAGAAGCTCAATCCCTCCGGGTACTTCCCCTATGGCTTCCTTAATCTTAGGATTGCTTAATCTAATCTTCCTGAACTTGGCAATCTCGGGTTCTTTCACAATGTTCTTCAGCAGTCTAAGAACCACATCAACCGCGCTCTCCGGCGGCTTGCTGGATAGATAGACCGCGACGAGATTCTGAACCTCGGACTTGTTCTCATTCGCGCTACCCTCGTTCACAGACGAACAGTTGTCTCCATTGCCACTGATGAGACAGTTTTCCACGTGAACAGACACATCTTCCTCCGACGTGAAAGAACTTCCACAGATCGGGCACTCGAACGTATTCAGTGAATACCCATTTTGAGATCTCTTCGAAGACGTGATAAGGGAGCCATAAGGGTCAAACCCGTCCTGCGGCTTGCGATCCGGATCCGGATCGGTGTATCTGGGAGATCCGGGTTTCTGTTGATCGGTGATTAGGGTCTTCTCAGGCAAAGGTGCCGATGCCGAATTCGACGAAACTACAGAGGAAGACGTTGGAGAAGGAGTGGGCTTGGGTCTAGGATTCGGAGCTTGGGTGGGGTTATACCTGGACTGAATCGGGCCACCGGGTCCGGAGGTAGAAGAACCGAGAACTCGACCTTGGCCTTTGAATTTGCCGGAGGAAGAAGACAGATTGACTTTTTTCATGAAACCCTTTAGCTTATCTTTCATGTCATCCATCTGCGCAACCTCGAAGCCTTCAATCAAAAAAAGAATCTATCCAACAAGTACCAAAGACACGAACTCAGAAAGCCCTATTGCTCAGGTCGTGGGAAATGTCCCCCCTCGAAGGCAAGCCGTATTGCTGTTCATGCGGCGGAGTGGTATCCCGCGTGGGATTTGCTGCCTCGACCAACCATCGCATCCCACGTGGATGAACATATGCCTTGTCGTGGCCCAATATAAAACTCTTGCGAATCAATTGTTTAAATATGGGCTTAATAATAAATAAGACGGCCCATTAAGATCCATGACCAATTGAAATTTACAAGTCTAAAAAGTATAGAAAACACCAACCCATCATTTATGTTTATTTATATTGATATTTAAATCTAGAAATTGAAGTTTTACTATTCTTGTATAATTTATCTAGAAAGAATTATGGTTAAAAACAACATGGTTTGTCAAGCACAAGTGATGGATTCTTACTCTCCACGTTCTCGGATTACTTCTTATATTCCACCTCTTGGGATTAATTCCGCGAGCCTAAACCGATTCTTATTTTCAACCTTTTGGGATTAATGCTGAACTTACCAAGACTTAGTTCTCCAAATACATATGGAAGATTCGCATGTATGAAAAAGAGCGTTGGTGGCGTTGGGGAAACAGGAAGAGAGGGAAGGCGGTGAAGCTTCTGAGGCAGAGGGCTGCATGGCCCCATCCCCGGAGGAGAGGAGATGGTTCAATAAAAGACCTTCTATGCTTTACGGTCTACTATTCAGGAACATGGATGTCTCACAAAGAACATGTACGATATCATCATATGATACTACTAGTCACTCAGAGTATGAACAAGAACAAACCGAGGGATGAATTTGAATGTTGAATTCGTGTTGATTGAGTTCAGGTTTCATCAGTGGTACCTTTGAGGATGTTGTATTTGCAGAGAGGACAGGTTGGTCTCATCTTCAGCCATTTCGCTATGCACGTTGAATGGAAATGGTGGTTGCACGGAAGCCCATGCAGCTCTGACCCTTCTTCGTATGAGCTCAGACATATGCAACAATTCTGAATCACAACAATGGATTGGAAATGTTCCTCATTTATCCAATTCCTTGAAAAACTTTGATCACGAGATGATGATGATGATGATGATGGCTTACCGCATCCTCCGGAAGGAGAGTCCGTTCAGTAGCTAAGTACAATACATTGGTCTCAGTAGGAACCATTTTCCCGGCTCCCGCGATGTATCTCTCGTTATCGTTCAAAGCCTGAAATCTATACACAGGGAGGACACTGAGATCTGCATCCGACACCCCTTCCTGTTTAAACCCACAAAAGCTTTTTTTTTTACAAGCCTTTCGAAATCCTGTGTGTTAGGGGGGCTGCAAGTGTTCTTGTGTTCGTACCGTTCCTGCAACGGAATAGAGAATGACGATTATGCAGGGAAGGCAGCAACAGAGAGCTATTCCGATAAGGCAAGCCAAAACAGCGCAGAGCACAACGAACAACACATCGATCGCTAGAAAAACCACGACCAACCTGATGATAGCAATGGAGAAAGACAAGTCACGTTTAGTAATTATGCAGAGAAAGAACTTGTGATGTGATGAAACTTACCAGTACAAGCCAGGAGCCTCCTTCAGAAGCATATCTCCACCGGCCACAACCCAATAGAATCCAATTATCCACCACACCAATGACAAAACCGTGTTTATCCACTCCAATCTTTTTGAGAAACTGTAATAACATTCATCATGATCGCACATAGAAATCACAAAGAACCATCATAAGATACCGATACCATCCTTAGGTGGCCATATAGATACACACTTCTTCAATGTACCAAAGTAATTCACGGAAATGAAGCGAAGACAATCCTGCAGCATCACAAAACCTCTACTCTACTCGTCAACAGATGAAGAACCAACCTGTACTGAGATGAGCCTCCATAATCGCTGGAACCACCACCTTCTTCATCCTCACTGTAGATGACACTCTCCAACTGATCGGCACCTTGTCCTGCCTCCAGATCCCCACTTCTCCGCCTCGTGTTCCTTCTGCGGTACTCCGACCACACCAACACCACGTGGACCAAGCACTGCAACGCGTAGCCACAGATCCAAACCCTAATCGGAGTGTTAGGCCTCTCATCGTCCGTGAAGACGAGCACCACCACCGATGCCATCACCAGAGCCGCATTCCACATGATATCCACAGCGACCACAGGCCTCGAGTATCCCCAATCCGCGCGTCGCTCCTCCAACGCACGCGCCGCCGTCTCCCTCACCAGCATCTCCGGCGCGCGATGGCCGGTAATTCGACCGAGTAGAACGGCGAGAGCGGTCGGCCGCGCCGGAGATCCTCTGCCGTGGCGCGTGCGTAGAAGCGGCGTGTGTCCATCACGCGCCGCCGTTGACTCTAATGAAGATAACATGGATGCCTGATTGCTTCTCTTTCCTTCCAAATGTCGGAGAAAAGATCGGATAGATCGCGGTTAATTAAACTCTAAAATACGATTAGATAAGTTGCGTGATTAATTAAGTCAAATCACGTATTAGATTAATTTAATCACCTTTGACTTCTTTTCCGGCAATTGGCTGGCGCTAAAATGTGACTGGTTTCATTTCTTTAACCGTGATTCCGTACGAACCAATAGTATCTTTTTCTTTTTCGTCAAATAAAACCTAGTTTACCATAAAAATAATATTTGAATAAAATTTATGAGAAAGACGAATCAATTCAACTTTGTAACCAAACGATAGCAAATTCCAAGTAAAAGAATTCAAATAAACATATTTGAGGTTTTAAATTAGAAACTGAACTTTTCCTTCCCAGTTATTCCAACGTAATTTAGATACAGTAAACATATGTTAGTCAACCTTTCAGGTGAATATTGGATACAATTCCCAAGATTGTAGGATCAAGGGTTGTGTTTTATTGCACTGATGATTTGCCAACCAAGCTCCAAATCTGAAACAGACCAACTGCAGCACAAGAACACAGACTCACTAGACCTTACCCCTCTTCTATGCGAGCAGTTCTCGTTCGGACACACTGAGGCTCTGAAAGATCCAACTTGCAAACAGTTCCCAGATTCTTGGATCTCAGATCCAGATAGTGTCTCCGAGATCTTCTCAGACAGCCGTTTGATCAGATCAAGATCCGTGATCCCCTTCACGTTAAGTGGAAAACATAAAGCCAGAGTCACTGCATGGTTCTTCTCCTGCAACATCTCAGAGACCTCGTCTTGGTGAACAATCTTCGCCTTTTTGTTATTCTCTACCATTAAAACCGAATCGGCAACTCTCTGGTCGATGACACGCAGCTGAGTAGAGTTAGAGAACCTGAAGTTAGGGGTGGAGCAGTGTCTGAGGAACATGTCAGAAGCATTTGCTCTGATGTAATGCGTGGAAGGGACTGAAACCGTTTCGCCGATTGCAGGGACGTAACAGGGGATTCCAAGCTCAGAGGAGATCTTCTCCTTGAGGGACATCATGCTGGGCTTCTCTCCATGCACGAGTACAGCATGCCTTGGCGAGAGGAACTTGGTCAGATCCATGATTCCTTTTGCGTCCGTGTGAGGACTGAAAGACACTTGGTGTATCTGACACGGCAAAGAATAGCAAAAGAAAATCAACTTTATATATCAAGTTCTTTCCCATTTTCTCATAAAGTTTCCAAGTAGTGTTTATATGGGCGATGGAACAGACGCCTGTGGGAAACAACATAAAATAGAGACAAACCTGGCAACGGACATCAATCTGGGTATCTTTATCGAGATTGATCTTTGTGGGTTTACCGGACATTAACTTATGACCAATAGTACCAGCCACGCAATATCTGGAAACACAGGATCCATACGAGGGTTACCTGACTGAAACTATGAGTTGCTGACTATCTAAAATTCGGGATGATTCATGACTAGCTAAGATTGGAAAAGTCAATAAGCTGAACAGGGGGATGTGAAAGTTAATAATACCCAGGCAAGGCAATGAGGTTTGATGGAGAAGGAGCCCAGTGCTTGAACACTTCAAGCGAGAAGCCGCCACTGAGCATCCCAGGTGTAGCAAAAAGAACACATGGACCAGGAGCATGTATAAAAGAACGCTCAAAATCCCTAACTGCAGCATGTAAGCATGGTTACAGAACAAGCATGTAAATGCCGTTAGAGAGCAAAGGGAGCTGAAAAACTTTTTGGGAACTGAACATGGGATGCTATGCAAAGATACAAAATCCATGCTGACTCACATATGTCAAGAACTAAAACACAAAGGAGGAGGGAGAAAATGAACCGAGCACTATATTTGATGCTTAGAAGTTAGGCACCGAATTTATAGTATAGGATAAAAGAAAACATTGCACCAACTTTATGCAAACTTTACAAAGCTATATGGACCATGACATAAAAAAACAGGATCCCATATATTTCGCAAGCAGTACTTTTATGGACCAGAACAGTTCCACTAGGTCTATAGGAGCAAAGTAGTCGCAGTTTACAAAGTTCAGGGTCTTTTGGAACACCAACAAATTTTGGCTCCTATGCATAAATGAAAAAAGATTTTTTTTTTGTTTCAGTTTCCTGAAACTTGCCGTAACTTCAAAAGTTTGTGGGTTTACCATTCTTAAAATCAAATGGATTATGCCCAGCGCACTTCTCCTTAACCTTCTGGCTAGTCCAGCTGAGGAGCATTTTGTAATACATATTCGCTTGGATGGTCAAACCTGGAAACATATACACAAGCTACTCAGGAGCACTTATTCATCAGGAAACAGAGAACTCTATTGAAGAAGAAAACATTCTCAATTGGTCTGACTTGGCAGCAGAATTTCACGACAAACCTGCTGAGAAGTATATTGGAACCTTTATGTTCATACGCTCCCAGTAATCATCCAGCAACATACAGAGCTCCTGAGCAACGGAGACAATTTTCAACACAGAAAATGGAAAAGACACAATCTCATAGTCTTCATTGCCAAAGGCGAAACATGAGGGAAAACTAGGAAGCAGTTTTAATCCAGAACAAGTTTGAACTGTTTCTGGTTCTAATTAATAGAGAGAAACCACTGAAAGCAAGAGTTCCTAGCGAGCAGAATGAGTCCAAGCTGAAGTAGGAAAAACTACTTTAACGTGGTCATTGGTCGATTCAACTGCTTATATCGTCTTTCAGATATATCAACCAACCATAAGGAGATTAAACAGAAACATCCAACTTAGTCAAAGGGGGGCAAATAAAGCTAATATAAATAACCTCTTAAAGAAACAAACCTGGGCCCTTCCAAGAGCAAATGAGGGAATCAGCGCCTTTCCTCCACCGGCAACACATTTATGAACCTGGAAGTCATTTTCGAAGTACTCAGATATAAATATAAAAGAAGAGAGTTTTAACCTAACCTAAATGGTCAGCTTAGCATATTAAATTATTAATGAGACAATAAGATAACCGTGCAAGGAAGGTCTGACAGAAAAATCAAGACGACAAAGTGTGTGTGTTAATATGAATTTATGAAGCCACATATATGGAATCCACAAAAGTTGACAGCATCAGGTAGACGTACGGCTTGCAAAAACTCTCTCTCCCGTGCATATTTTGAATCTCGAACAGTAGTTGCATATGTGGACCTAAAACACATAATCAAATACATACATAAAACTTCATTCCCAAGGAAAAACAGAACTGACAAATCATGCAATTCCAAAAGAAAACTCTAGTTTTTTTTTCCCCATACTCTGTTATGAGAAGATCTAAATGGAGTCTGTCAATTTTAGCTGCTCCTAGATGTCTATCTGGAGTCATATTATAATCTCCAGTGTACACAATCGCCGCATCACCCACCTTTGCATAAATCATCACAGCTCCAAGGACCTTATGAACGTTTCACAAGTGGCTTTACTAGAGGATACAGGCATAAAGAAGCGTAAGATTAGGCAATTTAAGGAGAAAGTTGAAGTATCTCTGTTTACAGAGAGCACAATAGTGCCTTACATGCCCAGCATAATAGGCACGGATTTGAAGATCTTGATCAACCTGAACTGTTTGCTTCAGATCCAATGCAATAACTGCAGAAACACAAGTCAATGAAGCCAAGTTATAGAAGCACATCCCAAGAAACAATGCTCATACAGCACGATCATACAAAACAAAAAGAATATCACTGAACCCTAGAACTCAACTAACCTAATCATAAATGGATCTTCACGGGACCACAGAGAAACTTATATGCTCATTCGCCCAGAAGCAGCTGTTCATAAAACCTAAGGCTTAACTTTTACCAAATTACTGTACGCGGACCGGTAGTACAAAGAATAGGCTGATTAGCTAAGGAGAACCAATCATCAATTAGATGAAACTAATGCGTAATGAAGGCCAAGCAAAAATGAGATGTAATTCTCAAATCATGAACCTTTCTTCATGCAATTCGTGATATGGTCGGTGGTGAATAGCTCTTCTTCGCCCCTTCGATCCACCATCACTCTCCTGTAATCCTCAAGCATCAGTGGAGCCAATGCCTTCGTGGGGTACTACAAAAAACCAAACAAAGCAATAAATTTATGTCAGAAAACACAAGCCAGTCAAGCATTTCATCGAACATGTTGAAGACACTTGAACCCACCGACATGTATACAGGCCCTTTATATCCGCGCACCTCCGTGAAGTAAGGCAGCGCACCAACATGATCCAAATGACTAAATCCAAAAATTAAAGAAAAACGGCGACACATTAGAATCCCTACGATCTCAAACAACTAAGAAAAGGGAAACGAAAACAAAGTTTTAGGTTTATGGATCGATACAAGTGGGTGATGACGATACAAGAGAGCGCGTTATCGAAATCGCCGGTTTTCGAGAGGAGAGAAAAATCTGGGAATCTCCGATGATCATCGTAGCCCATGTGCATCCCACAATCAAACATTATCCTTTTCCCGTTGATGGTGACGATCACGCAGCTCTTCCCTACTTCTTGCCCAGCACCTGCAACACCAAAGCCAGCATCCAAGGTGATGCATATCTGTTCAGAGCTCTTAACAATGGAAGCGAGGAACCAAAGAGGGAGGAAAAACGGAAGAGTTACCGAGAACGAGACAATCGATCGTCATTGTTGATTGGACAGAGCTCAATTTGAGTCAAAATTCTCGCCGTCGTGCAAATAGGAAATCGATTGATAGTAGAGATAGAATACGTTTTTTTTTTCACCGGAGAAAATCGAGTTTCGGCAAAGAAAGTGGCGGCAAATTGTAGGCATGAGCAAGTACGATCACAAAAGGCAGAACACTTGATGCCAACCCACATGGCAGGAATTGGGCCGTCAGTTCTAACTCATTTAATGGGCTAAGGAACAGACGAGAAGCCCAAAAACTATCATCCTTAATTAACTATGCGGTAAATGACGATTGGGAGATTAAAAAAAAAAAAAAAAAAAAAATTCCGCCCGCTGGTTGCAGTTAAAATGCTAAATTCATAACGATGACACAGATAATAATCCCATGTTCTGGCGAGCGAGGTAAATTATCCATTTATCCAGAGGAATCCGTCGTCCGAGAACTTTATAACGTGAGCTGCTGAGGGGAGGGTGAATCTGTCATTTTGCCTAAGGCACCACGCGTCCACGCGCCACTTCACTTTCCAACTTCCCCATCTCAGTCCATCGTCCAAGACGATTCAACTTCTCGACGAACGAAGAAAAAACGAAATATCGAAAAAGAGGACGAAAATAAAAACAAAACTTCTTTCCTCTAATTAATAAATCAGAGTTCGTTTTTCCTGAAATTGAAATCGACTTCTGTTACGCTTCGATTCACTTCTTGCCTCTTGACCAGATCTGATTTTCGCTCTTGACGTTGAATCGTTCAAGTTTCGATCGCCGAAAGTATTTGGAGACCGTCGGGAGAGAATTTGTGTTTTCAAGTGGAAGATTGGAGGAGGTCGGAGTCTGGGATCTGACCTCGAAGACGATTCAGAAGGATAATTTGGTTTCCTTCGCTGGGTTTCTCCCGAAATGTCAGACGCTCTTTCTGCCATTCCGGCGGCTGTTCATCGCAACCTTTCCGACAAGCTGTATGAGAAGCGGAAGAATGCGGCTCTTGAGGTTTCAATCCGGTTTCCTTCTTTCTTCCTCCGTGGTATTTCGATGTCTAGGGGTTTTTGGCTCGCGATCTTTTGCTTCGATTTCGAGCAAATTCGCTTGTCTCTTAACACTTCCGTTGTCTGAGATGATTATTTGCGTCTTTTGTAGCTCGAGGGGATTGTGAAAGGTCTAGCTGCTGCGGCAGATCATGAGAAGATCTCGAAAATTATCGAGATGTTGATCAAGGAATTTGCAAAATCACCTCAAGCGAATCATCGGAAGGTCAGTTCTTGTGGAAAACCTCTTTGGGTTTCTCGCAGCAATTCGCTAGTTACTTAGCTTGGTTGACTTATATTGATAGCATCAGAGCATATGCCTGCTGTCTTCGTATAGGGTGGCTTGATTGGCCTAGCTGCTGTAACAGTTGGGTTGTCATCAGAAGCTGCCCAATATCTCGAGGTATACATAGATACAGCCTATCCAAACTCTGGTTTTCGTGGTTGGTCTCTGGCATGTAACAGGGTTTATGTTGGACAAGTTATTTTTTTATTTCAGTCATCTCAGAAGCATACAGGGCCATATACTCTATTTGCTGAACC